AAGATTGGAGATTCCAAAAATGGCCTCTCTGGTTGACAGAAGGAAAGAAAAGACATGATAACATGTACATAAAAGAAAATGAGAATGTAGATTATAAATACAGTACCTTTTAGCACCAACAACAGGAAGAACAAGTGGCATCATTTGTTAACGAGAAAAAACACTGCTAAAACGAATTTTTTTTCTTCAGTTATAAACTTAAAAAATGATGACCCAAGAGGAAGTACAGTACAGCCTCTCCTCGCTGAACGATGGAGTTCCGTTTCTAAGACCATGATGGTAAACGAATTCGTTGCTAAGCGAGGAGCATACTGTAAGGGTGGTGGGTCGGTGTCAACCATCTTTGATATTATTTTAGTGGTATATTTTTAAATGTTTATACAGTAGTTTACTGTAAATATATTTAAATAAACAGAAAAGAGGAAATCAGCTCTAATTTAGATATGCATACTAGTCAGAGACCCCGTTGTAAGTCCGAGTCGTTGGTAAAGGAGTACGTTGCTAAGTGAGGAGAGGATGTAGTATATTCTACCTCTGGAAGGTTTACATAACTAGTGAGAAACAATACATGATGGCACAGACAGAGCATAGCTCTGCTCCTGTTACTACAAACAGGAAAAAAAATTCACACATATACAAGTGATTTGTATTTTCTGGTCAATTACAGTGGCCATACTGAAGACTACCTGAATTATCAAAACTACAATACTGTAATGTACTTTGAAATTATTACAATTTGAATACAGTTAGTATGAACTGTAGTTAGTCTAATATCTTTATCATGCACCCTATATCCATCCTGTATAAAGTGCATAGCAACAGGCATGTTGAGAATAAGTACTTACTGGAGTAGTAACATTTTTGCATGACAGCCTGAAACAGTGCAGGATAAAAGCTGTGAGGAACCCTGGGTAGGAGATGATGGGCTGTATACTCATCTTTCATGATCACACATGCACTTAAAAACTCTAATCTTGAAAAATCTTGATCCCCTATTTCAGAACTGTACACCATATCCTCCTTGGTCATACAAACCATCTGTGAAATTCCAGAAACAAAATAAGAGTATTGGCAGCAGTATCACTGTTAATGGCAAGAAGAGAAGCCCATTTATCATAGTTTAAACCTAGTCACAAGCTATAAACCATAGCAAATTCTGAAGAACAGCTATTTAAATTGAAAGAAGAGGGAGGAGTGGGGATAATTTTGGTATGAATCTTGGAATGGGAAGGAAGTTCGGATTTCTGAAATTTTAAGGGTTAATACATCATAGTGTAGAGAGACACCTTGCAGGGTTGTTTAAGATACCAACCCTCACTGAGCCACTCAAGCTGGAGGCTATTTGTAAAATAAGACACAAAAGCCAGGACCAGCACTTACCAATAGTATTAGTCTGGGTTGACTTTCACACAACTAGGCTATGGTGGGGAGGTATGCATAGTTAGTGTGCTGCACACTAACAGCACCTTTCAAGGCAGGTGAAATTGCTGACCTAGAAAATGTACAGAGAACCTTCATGGCACACATAACTGTGATAGAGCACTTCAATTACTGGGAATGCTTGAAGTTCCTAAACCTGTACTCCCTAGAACGAAGGTGGGAGATACATGATTATATACACTTGGAAAATCCTAGAGGGATTAGTACCAAACCTGCACACGAAAATCACTCCCTATGAAAGCAAAAGACTCGGCAGACAATGTAACGTTCCCCCAATGAAAAGCAGGGGTGCCACTAGCACGATAAGAGACAACACAATAATTGTGAGGGGCCCAAGACTGTTCAACTGCCTCCCAGTGTACATAAGGGGGGATTACCAATAGACCCCTGCCTATCTTCAAGCAGGCACTGGACAGGCACCTAAAGTCAGTATCTGGCTGTAGGTCGTATGTTGGACTGCATGCAGCTAGCAGTAACAGCCTGGTTGATTGGGCCCTGGCCCACCATGAGGCCTGGTCACAGACCGGGCCACGGGGGCATTGACCCCCGGAACTCTCTCCAGTTATAGACTCATTCACTACTACTTAATATTACTGACGAAAAAGATATGATTCAAGAAGCACCAATGCAGTATCCTTAAAGCCACAGCCAGGAAGGTCACTTATCAATAATCCATTATCATTAGTATCAAATGCAGCAGAGATGTCCAACATAATTAGCAGCGACACATTTCCTAAACAAATGCTCACTGGGGATCTACCATGACCAATCACCTTAAAAACCCTTAATAACCCAAAAAAAAAAGCTGACATGCGGATGATCACCATTTGCTGCGCCAGATGATATACCCCACCGCTCTTCAAGAGTTTGAACTTACTTAATATGCACTCATATTATTGTGCCTACTATATATACAGAACATTAAATTCCAACATAAACCCTCCAGTCAAACTTCTCCTTGATACCTACAACAGAACACACAGGTACAACACAAGGCACAAAACTCTCTTCGACATCTCTCATGTTCATCTCACCCTATGCAAAAATGCAATGCACATAAAGGGCCTAAGATCTGGAATTCAATGCCCAAACCAACAAAAGGCCCCCTGTCTGCCAATCAATTTAGGGCTATAATTAAAAATCACATCACCTCCCAAACTTAACTATATCTACACTATACCAAATCATTCAACCAGTATGAAACTACATACTCAGGAAATCCCAAAACAACTTAGGACTGCTAGATCAATCTAAAATATTAATGCATGCTTAAAACTGTACTGTTGTAACATTGCAAACTGTACTAATTGTAATACTGTACAGATTGACCATCACTAATCCGGAATCATCGGGACCTGTAGGTTGCCGGATTAGTGATTTTGCCAGATTATAGTGGTTAGATTAGGATACACTTAACCCAACGGTGATATTTATGCATCAGTGATTTCACCCACTTTATGCCCTATTTTTGGCCCATTCCATTGTTCAAGTAAAATAAACTCATAGCTATTTTGCTAGTATTCCTTCTATTCTGTTGATTAAGTACAAGAAATCTCCCATTTACCTATTTCAACTCCCCAATAAAGTGGTCAGAAATCAGTAATTTGGCCAATTTCACACAAATTTCAAGAGATGCCAATTTCAAAATAGGGTCCAAAATAAACAATCGAGACATTCCTATCACTAATATAACATTTTCTTTGTTCATCAGTCACGTCTCCAGGCCCCTCTTATATTATGCTTGCTTTCCATTTTGAATTTTTATTCATGCAAAAAATAGATTTACTGTTATGCAGACTACTGCATTATTGTAATAATTGTATAAATAATGTCAACCCATTCGTGACTGCATATTAGACTGGCCAGTTGGACACGTATTTGTTTACTCTTGAGCATCGTAAAAAATTGAACATTTCCCCTACTTTGAGCTCAGTTTTGAAGTACTTTCTGGTGTGAAACCAATCAAAATTGTATCTATTTTTGTAATGTATCTTCCATTCTATCAAGTGAGACCAAAAAAAAGAGAGAGAGAGAGAGAATACAACCATACAAAGCATACAAAAATACACCACAAAGTCACTGTTTTACACCAAAAGCACAGTCACTTTTTTTCTCATGCACTGCATGCTGCAGGATTTTTTTTATATATTGCACACTAACCACGCAGACCTATTCCCTCATATGTAGGCCCAAATTTACTGGTCACAGCTTATCTGAGTGAGCTGAGCTCATGGTGACTGACAGTGGCTTCAGAGCCACTTTATCTTTTATGGACAATATATGGTGTATGTGCTTTACACAGTGAGAAGCATTTCTTTTATTCGTTGGAACCATGGCTAGGGCTAAAAGTGAGCAGGTTATAACAATAAATGGAGAAAAAGAAATTGGAATGACTTATGCCAGAAGTAGCGCCACCAAACAGTAGCGGCAGGTTGGTGTGGTGACCCTGGAAATTTGAAATTAAGAAGCGTACTGGCATACACAGTGTGGTAAGGCATGGTGAGGCTGCCAGTTCGGACCACAAGGCGGCTGAAAAATATGTGCATGAATTCCAGGAGTACATAGAGGCTGAAGGACTGAAACCTGAACAAGTGTTCAATTGTGACGAAACAGGCCTCTTCTGGAAGAAAATGCCAAAGAGGACCTTCATTACACAAGAGGAAAAGTCAATGCCAGGACACAAGCCTATGAAAGACAGGCTGACGCTAATGTTCTGTGCTAATGCTAGTGGGGATTTCAAAGTGAAGCCGTTACTAGTGTACCATTCTGAAAATCCCAGAGCATTTAAGAAAAATAATGTTATGAAGAGTAAATTGTGTGTGTTTTGGAAATCTAATAATAAGGCATGGGTCATGAGGGAAATTTTTGTAGAGTGGTTCAACGAAGTGTTTGGCCCTAGTGTGAAGAATTACCTCCTGGAGAAGAAATTGGATCTCAAGTGCCTGCTAGTAATGGACAATGCACCTGCTCATCCACCAAACTTGGATGACCTAATTCTGAAGGAGTTTTGGGTTCATCTCAGTAAAGTTCTTGCCCCCGAATACCACTCCTCTCCTCCAACCCATGGACCAGCAGGTCATTGCAAACTTTAAAAAACTGTACACCAAAGCAATGTTTGAAAGGTGCTTCAATGTGACCTCAGACACTCACTTGACCCTACGAGATTTTTGGAAAGAACATTTCAGTATTTTCCATTGTGTAAGCCTTATAGGTAAGGCTTGGGAGGGAGTGTCTACCAGGACTTTGAACTCTGCTTGGAGAAAATTGTGGCCAGATTGTGTCGACAAGAGGGATTTGGAAGGGTTTGGGGCTGACCCTGATGAGCCTATGTCAGTTTTGAACTCTATTGTGGCACTGGGGAGTTCCATGAGGTTGGATGTGAGTTTGGAGGATGTTGAAGAGTTGGTGGAGGACCACAATGAAGAGCTAACCACTGAGGAGCTGCAAGAGCTTCAGCAGGAAGAGCAACAGATCGCAGCTCAGAATCTTGCTGCAGAGGAGGAGGAAGAGAGATGGAAGAAGGTGCCTTCTTCAGAAATTAAGGAGATTTTTACTATGTACCTGGAGTTTACCTGGAGAGAGTTTCGGGGGTCAACGCCCCCGCGGCCCGGTCTGTGACCAGGCCTCCTGGTGGATCAGCGCCTGATCAACCAGGCTGTTGCTGCTGGCTGCACGCAAACCAACGTACGAGCCACAGCCCGGCTGATCAGGAACTGACTTTAGGTGCTTGTCCAGTGCCAGCTTGAAGACTGCCAGGGGTCTGTTGGTAATCCCCCTTATGTGTGCTGGGAGGCAGTTGAACAGTCTCGGTCCCCTGACACTTATTGTATGGTCTCTTAACGTGCTAGTGACACCCCTGCTTTTCATTGGGGGGATGGTGCATCGTCTGCCAAGTCTTTTGCTTTCGTAGTGAGTGATTTTCGTGTGCAAGTTCGGTACTAGTCCCTCTAGGATTTTCCAGGTGTATATAATCATGTATCTCTCCCTCCTGCGTTCCAGGGAATACAGGTTTAGAAACCTCAAGCGCTCCCAGTAATTGAGGTGTTTTATCTCCGTTATGCGCGCCGTGAAAGTTCTCTGTACATTTTCTAGGTCGGCAATTTCACCTGCCTTGAAAGGTGCTGTTAGAGTGCAGCAATATTCCAGCCTAGATAGAACAAGTGACCTGAAGAGTGTCATCATGGGCTTGGCCTCCCTAGTTTTGAAGGTTCTCATTATCCATCCTGTCATTTTTCTAGCAGATGCGATTGATACAATGTTATGGTCCTTGAAGGTGAGATCCTCCGACATAATCACTCCCAGGTCTTTGACGTTGGTGTTTCGCTCTATTTTGTGGCCAGAATTTGTTTTGTACTCTGATGAAGATTTAATTTCCTCATGTTTACCATATCTGAGTAATTGAAATTTCTCATCGTTGAACTTCATATTGTTTTCTGCAGCCCACTGAAAGATTTGGTTGATGTCCGCCTGATGGGTAAGATGGAAAGATTTATGGAGAAACATCACCCAGAGAAGGATGTTGCAAGCCATATCGGCAACTTGTACAGTGACAGAGTCTTGGCCCATTTTAGGGAAGTTTTAAAGAGACGCCAGAAACAGAGCTCTCTGCACAGTTATTTTGCGAGACAGGACTCCAGTGACTCTCAAGCTGGTCCTAGTGGCATTAAGAAACACAGAAAAGAAGCAACCCCAGAAAAGCAAATGGTACCTGAGGTGTTGCTGGAAGGGGATTCCCCTTCCAAACTATAAACAATCCACTCTCTCCTCCTCCTCCAGTCTCCCATACACTAAGAAGAATCTCCAATAAAGGTAAGTGTTATGCTGTTAATGTTTCATTCATCATTTCCCATTGTATTGTTTATGTACTACATGAATATTTCATGCAAAAATTTTTTTGTTTTAATACTTCTGGGTGTCAGGAACGGATTAATTGAATTTACATTATTTCTTATGGGGAAAATTGATTCGTAAATCGACCATTTCGATAATCGACCGGCTTCCAGGAATGGATTACCGTCGATAATCGAGGGACCACTGTACTTAGATATTATAATTTACGTTGACATATTGGCAAGTATATTTAGTGTTGTTGTTTGTGGTGGTGTTATTAAGGACCACAAGACTTATGCCTTATTGAGCCCTATCTCCCAGCTCCTGGAGATTTAGGAAGTTCTAAATAACAAAAAGGCACAATACCATGACTGGAACAATACACAAATAACCTGAACCGAAATGTCGTCATAAGCTCCTGTCTCCTACGTGCGGGTTATTTGTGTATTAGGAAGTTCTAACAGGCTCAAGCTGTAAGTAAAGTAAAGTAAGCTTTACAGTATTTCTATAAAGAATGGCTTACAGTTTGTACAGAAAGTGTGATATTATTGACATACGTACTTTACAGAAAACCCCTGGTTATGCAGAGCATTTCGGGCAACCCTACAGTAACTATCAGTTTGAAATAGTAAGTCATGCTTTTGAAACTATACCTTTTGTTAATTAGTTACTTTTCTTATTGTACATATTGTAGTTAATTGCATAAGAAATCCTACTTAATAGTCTATCTAAATCTTAATTAACCTTTAAGCATGAGGATTAGTTTACCCAAAATGAATTGCATACTAGTGGCTGTATTTTGTGCCTACCAATGTTTTATAATGTGTAAACTATATTACATATTCGTACTACATAAAGGAATAAAAATTGCATTGTATCTACTCATAACACAACTATTAGTGAAATTTTTGCGAGAACAGTTTATTATAAGTTTCAGCTACACAATAGGCTTTAACCTTTGTGAAGGTTGTTAGTGGTGGTCAAATACAAGTGCAGATACAGTGGTACCTCAAGTTTCGAACAGCTCCCAACTCGAACAATTATGTAAGTGTATTTTTGCAAGTGCTTTTGTAAGTGTATTTTTGGGGGTTTGAAATGGACTAATCTAATTTATGTTATTTACTAACAATGATGATCTGATACGAAATGTCATCATATCAAAAACAATGTACTCAGATCACAACATAATCGGCAGACGATGCAACATCCCCCATTGAAAAGCAGGGGTGTCACTAGCACGTTAAGAGACAACACAGCAAGTGTCAGGGGCCCAAGACTGTTCAACTGCCTCCCAGCATACATAAGGGGGATTACCAATAGACCCCTGGCAGTCTTCAAGCAGGCACTGGACTAGCACCTAAAGTCAGTACCTGACCAGCCGGGCTGTGGTTCGTACGTTGGATTGCGTGCGGCCAGCAGTAACAGCCTGGTTGATCAGGCCCTGATCCACCACGAGGCCTGGTCACAGACAGGGCTGCGGGGGCGTTGACCCTCGGAACTCTCTCCAGGTCCAAGTATCAGCACTTGAATAGCCTTATGGAATGAATTAAGTTCGTAACACGAGGTACCACTGCATTAATCTAAATTTTATTATTATAGCAGAGGAAATTACGACCACACACAATTTAACTGTAGCTGTCTCCCTTTCCTCATTACTTGTTAATACCCTGAGACTTGAATGAAGCATGCTAGTATATGAAGCCAGGCACAGATATACACAAATTAAGAATGGGTTTTCAGAGCTAAGGGGAATATCCTATGAAGATAGGTTAAGGGAAATCAGCCTGAGGACACTGGAGGACAGGAGGGTTAGGGGAGACATGATAACGACATACAAAATACTGCGTGGAATAGACAAGGTGGACAGAGACAGGATATTCCATAGAGGGGACACAGAAACAAGGGGTCACACTTGGAAGTTGAAAACTCAGATGAGTCAAAGGGATGTTAGGAAGTATTTCTTCAGTCGTAGAATAGTCAGGATGTGGAACAGTCTGGCAAGTGATGTAGTGGAGGCAGGAACCATACATAGCTTGAAGATGAGGTATGATAAAGCTCATGGAGCAGGGAGAGAACGGACCTAGCAGCGTTCAGTGAAGAGGTGGGGCCAGGAGCTAAGTATCGACCCCTACAACCACAATTAGGTGAGTACTACAGTTATAACCCTGCAACATTAACACCCCTCCTTCAGAGTGCAGACACAGGACTTCCCATCTCCAGGAGTTAAGTCCGGCTTGCTGGTTTCCTTGAATCCCTTCATAAATGTTACCCCGCTCACACTCCAACAGCACGTCAAGTCCTAAGAACCATTTTTCTCTATTCGCTCCTGTCTAACATGCTCATGCACGCTTGCTGGAAGTCCAAGCCCCTCGCACGCAAAACCTCCTTTACTCCCTCCCTCCAACCTTTTCTAGGCAAACCCATACCCCGCCTTCCCTCCACTACAGATTTATACACTATCGAAGTCATTCTGTTTCATTCCACCCTCTCTACATGTCCAAAACATCTCAATAACCCCTTCTCAGCCCTCTGGATAATAATTCTGTTAATCCCACACCTCTTAATTTCCAAACTAAAAATTCTCTGTATTATATTCATACCACACATTGCCCTCAGACATGACATCTCCACTGCCTCCAGCCTTCTCCTTGTTGCAACATTCACAACCCATGCCTCACACCCATACAAGAGCGCTGGTATAACTATACTCCATATATTCTCCTCTTTGCTTTCACTGAAAAAGTTCTTTGTCTCCACAAACTCCTCAGTGTACCACTCACCTTTTTTCCCTCGTCAATTCTATAATTTACCTCTATTTTTATAGACCCATCTGCTAACACGGCTCTTGGTCTGCCATAGCTCTTAAACATGAGTTTATACGGCTCCTGGTCCACCACAGCCCTTACATCCAAATTAATACGGCTCTTTAAACCTGAGTTCATACGCTCCTTGTCCGGCACAACCCTTAAGCCTAAATACACAAATAACCCGCACATAAAAGACAGAAGCTTACGACACTGTGTGACTTTGTCAATGGTCCAAGTCGGACCGAAACGTCGTCGCAAGCTTCTGTCTTTTATGTGCGGGTTATTTGTGTATCATTCCAGTCACGGTATTGTGCCTTTTTGTTATTTACTTAAGCCTAAACTTATGCGGCTCCTGGTCCACCACAGCTTTTAAACCTAAGTTAATACGGCTTTTGGTCTGCCATAGCCCTTACACCTGAGTTTATACGGCTCCTGGTCCAGCACAGACCTTACTGCCAACAAGAACATTGTTTTGTCAGCTGTTAAGTAAGACAGTATAATACAATAATATCTTTATTTACTACAAGTACATGTACAATGTATACAGACCATAGCTGACATCAGTGACATACTACTATATAGTAAACAGCTTGTTATGCAGAGCATTTCCAGCAAATTAGGTCAATTTTTCCCAGGATGCGACCCATACCAGTCCACTAACACCCAAGTGCCCATTTTACTGATGGGTGAACATAGACAACCAGTGTAAGATAAGATAAGATAAGATTTCGTTCGGATTTTTAACCCCGGAGGGTTAGCCACCCAGGATAACCCAAGAAAGTCAGTGCGTCATCGAGGACTGTCTAACTTATTTCCATTGGGGTCCTTAATCTTGTCCCCCAGGATGCGACCCACACCAGTCGACTAACACCCAGGTACCTATTTGCTGCTAGGTGAACAGGACAACAGGTGTAAGGAAACGTGTCGAAATGTTCCCACCCGCCGGGAATCGAACCCGGGCCCTCCGTGTGTGAAGCGGGAGCTTTAGCCACCAGGCCACCGGGCCTGGTGTTTCTACCCTCGCTGGGAATCGAACCCAGACAGACACCTTGTGAAGCGAGAGGTTTAGCCACCAGGCCATGGGGCACCGTTTGAGTTTATTCAGGTATAAACAGTTATATTGATTATCATATATAGCAGCATTTGTGTAGAGAACTTGGGGTAACCCAAAAAATCAAGAGTTAATTATTTCCATTGGGGTCCTTGTGATAATTATTGTCTGTATTTAAAAGTTAAAAAAAAGGTAAGTATCTTAACTATGTAAAAGCAGTTACAATAAAAGAAAATATACTAGGGGAGAGATATTACTTATTTTCATACAAGAAACCACTCTCCTTACTTTCTATAGTCTTATTCATGAGGTACTTCGTGGCTCTTCTTGAACTGGTTCATGCTATGACTGGCTTGGACATTTACAGGAAGTTTGTTCCACTCATTTATTGCTGAATAGAAAAATGTCTTTGAAGCCTGATCACTGACTAGGTATTGCAAAGTTGTTGTCCCTTCCCCTAGTTCTGTAACTGCATTGGTTCCCGGCCTAACAAAATTGGCAGTAAGATATTGGGGACACTGGTTGTGACCAAATTTATAAATGTAATTTAGTTTTAGTTGATCGACTAACATTCAGCATATTTAGTTGTTGTAATTCATCCTGGCCTACATGTTATCCTGGACCCAGGTCCAGAATAAATCTCACTACATGTACTTTGTTAATCTCACTACTTTGTTCTGGGTGATTTATAGCCTATCTTTTAAGTTTTTTTGTTAAGGCAGAGTACCATGAAGAGCAAGAGTAGTATATAATACACTGTATGAGAGCTTGACATAGGGTACTGCGAGCCTCAGTAGGTAGACACTGCACCTGTCTGTAGAGGAACTTTAGTTTGGCATTCGCTTTGTTCCCACCAGGCCCCGTGGCCTGGTGGCAGTAGCTCTCGCTTCACACGGTGAGGGTCCGGGTTCGATTCCTGGCAAAGGGCTGGAAACATTGGACGTGTTTCCTTACACTGGTTGTCTATGTTCCCCATCAGTATAATGGGTACCTGGGTGTTAGTTGACTGGTGTGGGTCGCATCCTGGGACAAAAACTGACGTACTTTGCCTGAAATGCTCTGCATAACAAGGGGCTTTCTATATATAGTAGTATACCATGTACATGTAGTAAATAAAGATATTATTTAATTATTATTATTTATTAGTTCTCCTGACATGCTTGGGTCAAAGGGGATTACCAGATATTTCATTGAAGATGCTGAAGCACTGGGTTTCCCATTACACTGAACATTAAAAGTATTTACCCTTATTAGTTTACTTTTCTTGCCAAAGAGTATGGCTTCTGTTTTCCCCCGAGATGTAGCAATAGTTTATCTAATAACCATTTTCTTCAGGACTATAGCTAGTTCTAGTGATAGTACACTATAGCTCTATCTTGTGTATCTTTACCCGAGACTAACAGAGCACTGTTGTCTGCATACAACAGAAGCTTACACTTGACACTGATGGGCATGTCATTCACATAACATAAAAAGAGTAAAGGGACCAGAATACTACCCTGGGGAACCCAATATGCTATTAGCAGGGGTTCTGATTCTGTATTGTTGACCTTGACAATTTATTTCCTGTTGCTCAGGTAGGACTTAAACCATCTACAGAGCCTATGCTGATAGTGTCGTTTCTCCATTGGTGTCCTTCAGTTGTGTCCCACAGGATGCGACCCACACCAGTTGACTGACACCCAGGTACCTACTTACTGCTAGTTGAACGGGGACACCAGGTGTAAGGAAACTTGCCCAACATTGCCACTTGTGCTGGACATTGAATTATGGACACATTGTGATGCAGGTGCTCTGTCAATCAAGCCACAGGACACCACAGTGGGACACTGCCATGGGACACCACAGTGGGACACCACAGTTGGACACTGCCATGGGACACCACAGTGGGACACTGCCATGGGACACCACAGTGGGACACTGCCATGGGACACCACAGTGGGACACTGCCATGGGACACCATTTTCTTGATGTGAAAAGTCATTTAACAGGAATAAATATATCAGATCAACAACTAAGTGTGATCTTTTTAACATTATAAAAAATCATTATGCTCCCTTTCTCCAATTCTTATTTACTAAAACTTTCGGCTAATATTGAGTTTAGGAGCTTCTGCTTTTATAACATAAATTGTCTAATGTTAAATAGGTGGTGTAATGGAAACAGGTATATTTTGTTCCTGTGGGAATATGTTTTTTGATAACCATAAAAAGCCTAACCTGACATAAAACCAATCTACCATACCCTAGAATTTAACCCTAGGTTGGGTTAGGTTTCCCTACCCAAAAAAACTGCTCTCCCATAGGTCCAAGGTATAACTGTCCATTGCAACCCCACTTGATAAACTAGAATTTACATAATATTACATCAAGCTCAAAAAATCTCCTAAATATAATGAAGGAGGGGTGCTAATGTTGCAGTTTAAAAACTGTAGTGTAAAGCACCCTTCTGGCAAGACAGTGATGGAGTGAATGATGGTGAAAGTTTTTCTTTTTCGGGCCACCCTGCCTTGGTGGGAATCGGCCAGTGTGATAATAAAAAAAAATATTACTAAATATGCTTGACATGATCAGGTATGGCTCAACACATGAACCAGGAGAGGTGGGAAGAACTGGTTACTTCGTTCCTGCGAGTGAAGGACACTTGTCTCATGACTGGGGATGAGGAAGCTGCCCTGGCTGCCACACTCTCCAATCTCTCTTACTGCACCTCCAAACTCAGGATTATGTATGACCATAGGGTAAGGCAACTATTTAATTATGGTAGCTTGTGGCTTGAGTTGTATAACTTTTGGCTCACATCTTGATGTGATCCCTGTACAAATGAAAATGTTGGACATGTTTCTTACACTTGTCACCTTGGTTCACCTAATAGTAAGTTACGCAGTTGTTGTGGGTCACATCCTAGGGAAGAGGATCAAAGGACTCCAATAAAAATAAGTCAGATATATTGGTTTTATTGGATTATCCTTAATTACTAACTCTCTGGGCTAATAATCTGAATAAAATCATTATCTTGTTTTGTACCAGTATCTATTTGCTCTCAAGACCATGGCAAAGAAATTTCTTTATTATTTATACAATACCTAAATAAAACTTCAGTTGTAGCTCACATTAAATGACAGCAACATTTAACTTTTATCTGATTGAATTTTTAAGTGGCTTTTCCCATCCAACAAAGTAAGTTTACCCTTGAAAATATTTTGGTGATGACCCCTTCTCTCAAAGGTGGATCATACAAGCACCTTTTAAGATCCAAGAAATTGAAGTTGTCCTCCCTTGGATTGAATCTGATTACCTTCCATTTCTCAGACATGGTGTTTATAAAAGTGGACCAATTAAAGTAAAACAAGTCTACTGGTGAGTAAGATCCATAGGCAACATTTAGGCATCTTTATTCTGAAATGTTTCACCTACACAGTAGGCTTCTTCAGTCAGTATTGTATGCCATTTTGATATGTAAGTCTACTGGTAACTAGTTAGTGATTTGGCTTTAGTTGTGTTTTGTACTGATGATTTATTGTCTCATTAAAATCTTTGTTCTGCATTTGTATCTATTTTAATCACTCTGCATAATTCTGGGCTTTTTTACATAGGGAATAAATGCTGTTAATCACTGTTTACCTTCTTGGAAAATGCAGATTATTAATAGTTCAATAGTACATTTTGAAAATGATTGGTCTTATATTGTCCATCACCAACTATAATTTTTATAGTGATGGTACAGTACCTAACTGGCATGCTAGGAAAGTTTGTAGACTTATCTAGAAGAGAATTTAGAGTAATAAATTAGGTTAGGTAAGTAACTATAAGGATCCCATTAAAAATAATTAATAGTTTAACCTTACTGGATTAGCCTAGGTTTAATTAACATAATTTGTCAACAGTGTATGCCTTTATGTACTCTCAGAATCATTGTACGGTACAAATTTATTCTTCTGCCTTTAATATCATTTGTAGATTTCTTTAGTAAATTTTATCTTTCAGAAAAAATAATTTTGTGATATTCTGTTTGGATCAATTCAGTAAAAATTAGTTAAGGCCACCAACCACTCGTATGTTGTCTCATTTGAGCTCTTACCAAGTTCTATCTCAATTAACTAAAATAAAAAATACTGTTAAACTTGAAAGACAGTGCTGAACATATTTGCACTATGTGGTAAAGTCATTTTATGGTGTGAAATACTTGAAGCTACAAAATCACTTAAGCATGGGTAACTTGTTTTACCAAACAAAATCATTTGTGATTGAATACAGTTGATTAATCTCTAAACAGTACAGTATATTGTAGGATTTACTAATGTAAATGTTCTTTTTCCTAAAGCAAATTCACTGTGTTGTGGATCAGTGTGTGTCTGGTATTGTGAGTCCCAAAAGTTCCCTGGTCAAACAGACATCACACTTGCTTGCTTCACTCCTTAGATGGCAGAGCAGCACAAGCCTATCATCATTAACTTTAGATAAGGTCATTGCCTGGCTTAGTTCTGCCCTTAAATACCATGGGAGGGACTTACACGACAATGAAACAGTTCATCAAATATTACGTGCTCTAGCTGCTGCCCTGCGAGATGCTGTTGACCATTCTGATGAGGTGAGGTTTCTTCTGATTTCATAATTTCTGTGGCTCTTCCATGGTTGATGTGCTTACTGTTTTTCTATTCATTTACTTGCTAAAATTTATTGTCTTAGTTTGTGAGTCATACATGACAAACCAGCAAGTCAGTTGACTTAACCTGCATGTTTCATATTATATCTAGTATGTATTGCACATACTAGTCTTTAATGGTGAACTCTGTTAAATATAAATTCACTACTAAGCATCATCTATCTATTTTGAATAATTTATTTGACTAGTAATTGCTTAATAGATTAGATGCAAAAATGTACTGTACATCACTTTGTAGCTGAGCAGTCTGAAGTGTTTGATAATCAGCAAGTTTTTGCTCTCCAAGTGTATTATTCACTTTCCTTTAATGACTTCTTACTCTATATATTCATCAAACCTGATTGCCTCCCACTCCACAGATAATGACCCCAAGGGTTTAGTACTTTCTAATGACTATAATAATAATTTATATTTGTCAGCGAGATGTGCCTATGTAGTATAATGGGCCACTATCATGTTTTTTTAAATGTCGGCAGAATGTGTGCCATTTATCATTTGTCTGCTAGCTTATTTTCTTGTAATGAAATCTCTAAAATTTTTCAGAAAAGCTTTTACAGAACTTTGAGTAAATAGTAATTGTATATAGTTTAGCTTGCATATGTTAATATTTTATTGCATTTTGTTTCTCTGAAATTTTGTATCATCTTAGCTCATCATTTTCTTTTTTATAATCTGTTCAGTTATACTTGTGTTATTTTTTTTTCCTTCCCTAAGTCTACTATGATATTTTACATTGTTCACCGTATTAAATTTTTTCATTAAAATAAATCTGTTATGCATTTCATATATGTAGCTTCCTCTATGCAAGGAACTGGAGCTACCCATGTCTTTCCTCAGGTCAGATCTGATTACTGCCCATTTCTCAGACAGTGTATGACCACTATAAGTTTACTTCTTTTCCCATAAATGTGTTCATAATTTCATACATCTGATTTGTTACTACAGTATACGTATATGTAATTTCTTTTTTTTCAGATCTACTTGAGTCTTGCTGGTACCAAGGGTTCTCTCACACTGACACTGGACTCAAACTCACCATGGCAAAATCAAGCACTTGCAATGCGTTGCCTTCATCTTCTGACTTACGTTGCTCCAGAAATTGTTGCAGAGTCTCGGCAGCACAATGAAGAGATCTTTCCAGCGGAAGTTGTGTCTACAATTCAGAGAATTGTCATTGGCATTTTAAGACAGCCATTACCCAATCCAGACTTGTGTTCACATAAATTATATTTACATCTAGTTGCATCAGCTCTAAGTGTTTTGTACAATCTAGTTGTATGTGCTCCGAATGACATACTAGGAAACATTATTGTTAGTACCTGCCGTCCATTTGTATTTTATGGATTGCCTGGTTTTGCTCACAGTGAACTGGTACAGCACACAGCTAGCCCTGAAGTGGAGGTTCCTCTCTCATCTGGAATGGAGAGTGATTCCTCATCAAGAGTAAGTCTAAGCTGTCTTTGTTGGACATGTCAGAAAAATGACTACACATGCTTCAAACTGATACAGCAGTGTTGCAACCACTATACTCTGATGCATTTACCTTTTTGCTTCCATGGATAAAGTTCTCTGTCTTTACAGATACCTCAGTGCATCACCCACCTTTTTTTTTTTTTTTACCTTCATCAATTTTTATGGTTCACCTCATCTTTCATAGCACCATCCATCGACAGGTCAACCCCTAAATTTGTGAACACTTGTACCTCCTCCATACTCCCTGCTTTCTATCTAATATCTAATCTCTTATTGCCTATATTGTGTGATACTCTCATTACCTTGCTCTTTCCTATGTTTACTTTCAATTTCCTTCTTTTACATACCTTCCCTAATTGGTTTATCAAACTTTGTAAATTTTCTTCCAAAGTATGTCTGCATTTACATTCCCTGAATGGTGCAAACTTCATTGAGTTATCAAAACTAACCCTGTGGTTATCCAAAATATGCTTGGTGGATTTACCAGACCCCTTAACTGTAGCCATTAACACAATTTAAGTGATATTTAAGGCATGAATAGTAAAAAATTAAAGTTTAGAAGTGACCTCCATAAGTTTTCTGTTGACTTCAATTATGTAGTTAAGATTAATGTAAAATATACAGTATAGTATATTAGGGCACATAGAAAATTATATTTTTGGTGTCAGTTATCACACTTCTCTGCAATGTAGAAAAGATATATAGGGTATAACTGGATTTTTGAACATTATACAGGTTTGTATAACCTCTGTAAAATGATACCAAATTTACAGAATTATACTAATCGAAATCGTCGTAAGAGACTTCGTCGGAAAAGAGCCCAGCCATCACGATCAACCTCAGATTGTGATAGTGGTCCATGTCCTCTTGTAGCTGCTGTGGATGGTATGGGTCTAGGTCTGCGAGTTCCCCCACCAGCAGCTACTCTGGCTGCCACTGTCTCTCTTAAACCTCAGTGGGCCAGAGAGAAGCAAACTTTAAAAGCTGAGAAAGATAAAATTTCTGTGAATTCTTCTCTAGGTGAGAAAAAGAGAAATTGTATTAATTTTTGTTTAATATCAGCAAGCATGTGTGAGCTTGTTAGATAGGAGTGGTGTTAGGTAAGACACACATGCAACAGTTAGGTATCTTTATTTCGAAACGTTTCGCCTACACAGTAGGCTTCTACTTCATATTGTTTCAGACTATGGAACAATGCTCTTCTCCAGACTGAGGGACTCACCACCTCAAAACTTCAAGGGTGATGGACTGATTACATCGTCTTCAAGTATCTTCTGCTTCTATTAACTTTTCTGTACTCGACTGAAGAAGCCTTCTGTGTAGGCGAAACGTTTCGAAATAAAGATACCTAACTGTTGCATATGTGTCTTACCTAACAACCTGTCAGTATTTTATACCATTTTAATGTTCACTCTAGATAGGGGTGAATGGAGACGAATGGTTTTTGGGACCTGACGAGCTGTTGGAGTGTGAGCAGGGTAATATTTTGTGAAGGGATTCAGGGAAACCGGTTAGCTGGAGTTGAGTCTTGGAAATGGGAAGTATAATGCCTGCACTTTAAAGGAGGGGTTTGGGATATTGGCAGTTTGGAGGGACTTCTAAACTGTCGTATCTGAGCACCTCTACAAAGACAGTGATTATGTATGAGTGAGGTGAAAGTGTTGAATGATGAAAGTATTTTCTTTTTGGGTCACCCTGCCTCGGTGGGAGATAACTGACTGTGTTAAAAAAAAAAATGTTTATATTGGGGAAGTATTAATTTTTTCATTTTGGCAAACTAGGGTGAATAGGAAGATTAACATCATTTTCGACTAAATTGGTAACTCCAAATATAAGAATATGGAGTATTGGTTTTGGGCTTATATTAAATATTTGCAATAACTTTCACCATTAAATTTCATTGTTAGCACCCGAGACAGAGACTTCGCCAGAAACGACCTCTCAAGATGAGAGTACTGCAGAAGTCCGAGTGAGTGGCTCTGAGACTGACTTCTCTGATTTTGAAGGAGGAGGTGAAAAGGAATCAACATTAATGGCTCGGGCTCGCCAGTGCTCGCTTCAAGCTATAAATGCTGTCATTGATGTAAGTTATTTGTTTACTACTTTGACTTACATTGTTTTGAAGTGCCACCATGATGTGTGCTGGTAAAGCATAATTATTCCTTAGAGGAAATAATTAGCTGGAGTGAAATCCATTCTTGTTTAAAAAAATATTAGGTGAGAAGAACCATAAGGCTTGTAACTTGAACATCTTGATCAAGTTGTATCCTGATTAATAGTTCTGTCCCATATACATCTACGTGCAGTTTTGTTTATGAATGTATGAAGTCTGTAGTTAAAGAGCCAGAATATTTATTATAAGATTTCAGAAAAACCTTGCATGATAGAGGCTCAACAAACTCAGATTCGTGATCAATTCATCATGGTTGGCTTAAACCAACTAATTTGGTGTTTGAACTGAATTAAAAGTTAAATTTTGTTGGCTCGTGTAATATGAATACAAATTATAGAGTATTTCTTAAATTATGTAAGATGCTCAGCCCTTTCTTCTTGAACGAATAAAACAGCACATTAGAACAACAAAATATGAGCTTATGCATGAGCATATACATCCCACAACAACGACATAAACTATAGTATGAAAATATATATTTTTTTTTTCCAACAAGTCGGCCGTCTCCCACCGAAGCAGGGTGACCCAAAAAAGAAAGAAAATCCCCAAAAAGAAAATGCTTTTATCATCATTCAACACTTTCACCACACTCACACATAATCACTGTTTTTGCAGAGGTGCTCAGAATACAACAGTTTAGAAGCATATATGTATAAAGATACACAACATATCCCTCCAAACTGCCAATATCCCAAACCCCTACTTTAAAGTGCAGGCATTGTACTTCCCATTTCCAGGACTCAAGTCCGACTATATGAAATAACCGGTTTCCCTGAATCCCTTCACTAAATATTACCCTGCTCACACTCCAACAGATCGTCAGGTCCCAAGTATCATTCGTCTCCATTCACTCCTATCTAACACACTCATGCATGCTTGCTGGAAGTCCAAGCCCCTTGCCCACAAAACCTCCTTTACCCCCTCTCTCCAACCCTTTCCAGGACGACCCCTGCCTCGCCTTCCTTCCCCTATAGATTTATATGCTTTCCATGTCATTCTACTTTGATCCATTCTCTCTAAATGACCAAACCACCTCAAACAACCCTCTTTCAGCCCTCTGACTAATACTTTTATTAACTCCACACCTTTTCCTAATTTCCACACTCCGAATCTTCTGCATAATATTTACACCACACATTGCCCTTAGACAGGACATCTCCACTGCCTCCAACCGTCTCCTCGCTGCTGCATTTACCACCCAAGCTTCACACCCATATAAGAGTGTTGGTACTACTATACTTTCATACATTCCCTTCTTTGCCTCCATAGATAACGTTTTTTGACTCTACATATACCTCAATGCACCACTCACCTTTTTTCCCTCATCAATTCTATGATTAACCTCATCCTTCATAAATCCATCCGCCGACACGTCAACTCCCAAGTATCTGAAAACATTCACTTCTTCCATACTCCTCCTCCCCAATTTGATATCCAATTTTTCTTTATCTAAATCATTTGATACACTCATCACCTTACTCTTTTCTATGTTCACTTTCAACTTTCTACCTTTACACACATTCCCAAACTCATCCACTAACCTTTGCAATTTTTCTTTAGAATCTCCCATAAGCACAGTATCATCAGCAAAAAGTAACTGTGTTAATTCCCATTTTGAATTTGATTCCCCATAATTTAATCCCACCCCTCTCCCGAACACCCTAGCATTTACTTCTTTTACAACCCCATCTATAAATATATTAAACAACCATGTTGACATTACACATCCCTGTCTAAGACCTGCTTTTACTGGAAAGTAGTCTCCCTCTCTTCTACACACCCTAACCTGAGCCTCACTGTCCTCATAAAAACTCTTTACAGCATTTAATAACTTACCACCTATTCCATATACTTGCAACATCTGCCACATTGCTCCTCTATCCACTCTATCATATGCCTTTTCTAAATCCATAAATGCAATAAAAACTTCCCTACCCTTATCTAAATACAGTTCACATATATGCTTCAATGTAAACACTTGATCTACACATCCCCTACCCACTCTAAACCTCCTTGCTCATCCGCAATCCTACATTCTGTCTTGCCTCTAATTCTTTCAATTATAACCCTACCGTACACTTTTCCTGGTATACTCAATAAACTTATTCCTCTATAATTTTTACAATCTCTTTGTGTCCCCTTTCCCTTTATATAAAGGGACTATACATGCTCTCCGCCAATCCCTAGGTACCTTCCCCTCTTTCATACATTTATTAAACAAAAGTACCAACCACTCCAACACTATATCCCCCCTGCTTTTAACATTTCTGTCATGATCCCATCAGTTCCAGCTGTTTTACCCCCTTTCATTCTACGTAATGCCTTGCGTACCTCCCCCACACTTACATTCTGCTCTTCTTCACTCCTAAAAGATGGTATACCTCCCTGACCAGTGCATGAAATTACCGTCTCCCTTTCTTCCTCAACATTTAAAAATTCCTCAAAATATTCTCGCCATCTACCTAATACCTCCCTCACCCCATCTACTAACTCCCCTACTCTGTTTTTAACTGACAAATCCATACTTTCCCTAGGCTTTCTTAACTTGTTTAACTCATTCCAAAATTTTTTCTTATTTTCATTAAAGTTTCTTGACAGTGCGTCTCCCACTCTATCATCTGCTCTCCTTTTGCACTCTCTCACCACTCTCTTCACCTTTCTTTTACTCTCCATATACTCTGCTCTTCTTATAACACATACGCAAATCAAATAAGATTGTGAATTTACAGTGGTACCTCGAGTTTTGAACAGCTCCCAAGTCGAGCATTTATTTAAGTGTATTTTTTAAGTGCTTTTGTAAGTGTATTTTTGGGGGTCTGAAATGAACTAATCTAATTTACGGTATTCCTTATGGGAACAAATTCGTTCAGTATGGGCACTCAAACAGCCTTCCAGAACAAATTAATTTCATAACTCAAGGTAACACTGTATTTTATTTTCAAAGAAATTAATGAACATTCTTATATCTTAATTAATTTTTTGTTTCACCATGCCCATAATTTGATGCAGCAATGTTCTTAGTTATAGTAATTAGCCCTTTTAATATTTTGTGAAGGAATTCAGGGAAACTGGTTAGCCTGACTTGAGTCCTGGAGGTGGGAAGTACAGTGCCTGCACTTTAAAGGAGGGGTTTGAGATATTTGGTGTTAGGAGTGACATCTGAACTGTTGTATATGCATGCCTCTGCAAAGACAGCGTGAATGATGGTGAAAATGTTACTTTCTTCAGTGGGAGACAGCCAGTGTGTTGAAAAAAAAAATTAGCCCTCTGTCACAGTTTTCTGATGCTAAACCTCTTGAAAGTATTATGATCATTTGTATATAATTTTATTATATATATTATGTAGAAAGTGGGAAAGCAGCACAAGTTCAGCTACTGGCCCCCATTGATGTGTCAAGCACCATCATTAATGACAAGTGTGCTGAAGGATCCATCAGCCTCAGTGAGGATGGCATCACTTCAAGTCATAAACACTTTTCTCCTTGACTCTTCACAAGTCCTCACTCATGCAGTTGAGAAGTGAGTTATGTAGCAATGATTTTACACTACATTACTTGGTTTCTACTGTAATTTTAAAGTTTTTTATTTAGGCCATTTTTTCTTATTTCATTCATTACAGGCTCTGCCATGTTATTATTTTTGTTTTATTATAAAATCAAAATTTGAAAAGTATGATTTTTTAATTGTTGCTGTTGTAAACATTCTCCTGTGTATATAAACTTCCTTGGATATTTTGAAGTGTTCGCTAAGGATTAAAATTTCAATATTTTCTAATTTTATTGAAATGTTTAATCATTCTATTTTATGAAAGGCACTACATATACATGTACACATTTATTTATACACACTCATCTGAGTTTTCTTTGATTTTATCTTAATAGTTCTTGGTCTTATTACTTTTCCTTTTATATCCATGGGGAAGTGGAATAAGAATCTTTCCTCCGTAAGCCATGCGTGTTGTAAAAGTCAACTAAAATGCCGGGAACAATGGGCTAGTAACCCATTTTCCTGTAAAGATTACTAAAAAGAATAAGAAGAAGAAAATTGTCAAAGTGGGAAGTCTGAATGTGCGTGGATGTTGTGCAAATGATAAGAAAGAGATGATTGTGGATGTTATGAATGAGAAGAAGCTGGATGTCCTGGCTTTAAGTGAAACAAAGCTGAAGGGGGGTGGGGAGAGTTTCAATGGAGAGGAATAAATGGGATTAGGTCAGGGGTTTCAAATAGAGTTAGAGCTAAAGAAGGAGTAGCAATAATGTTGAAGGATAAGCTATGGCAGGAAAAGAGGGACTATAAATGTATTAATTCAAGGATTATGTGGAGTAAATAAAGATTGGATGTGAAAAGTGGGTTTAATAAGCGTGTATGCACTGGAGAAGAGAGAAGTGTAGAGGAGAGAGATTTTGGGAAATGTTGAGTGAATGCGTGGAGAGTTTTGAATCAAGTGTGAGAGTAATGGTGGTTGGGGATTTCAATGCTAAAGTGGGTATTAAAATGTTATGGAGGGAGTAGTAGGTAAATTTGGGGTGCCAGGGGTAAATGTAAATGGGGAGCCTTTAATTGAGCTATGTGTAGAAAGAGATTTGGTAATAAGTAATACATATTTTATGAAAAGAGGATAAATAAATATACAGGTATGATGTAGCATGTAATGAAAGTAGTTTATTAGATTATGTATTGGTGGATAAAAGGTTGGTGGGTAGGATCCAGGATGTACATGTTTATAGAGGGCCAACTGATATATCGGATCATTATTTAGTTGTAGCTACAGTTAGAGTAAGAGGTAGATGGGAAAAGAGGAAGGTGGCAACAACAAGTAAGAGGGAGGTGAAAGTGTATAAACTAAGGGAGGAGGAAGTTCGGGTGAGATGTAAGCGACTATTGGCAGAAAGGTGGGCTAGTGCAAAGATGAGTAGTGGGGGGGTGTTGAAGGAGAGTTGGAATAGTTTTAAAAATGCAGTATTAGAATGTGGGGCAGAGTTTGTGGTTATAGGAGGGTGGGGGCATGAGGAAAGAGGAGTGATTGGTGGAATGATGAAGTAAAGGGTGTGATAAAAGAGAAAAAGATAGCTTATGAGAGGTTTTTACAAAGCAGAAGTGTTATAAGAAGAGCAGAGTATATGGAGAGTAAAAGAAAGGTAAAGAGAGTGGTGAGAGAGAGTGCAAAAGGAGAGCAGATGATAGAGTGGAGAGGCACTGTCAAGAAATTTTAATGAAAATAAGAAAAAATTTTGGAGTGAGTTAAACAAGTTAAGAAAGCCTAGGGAAAGTATGGATTTGTCAGTTAAAAACAGAGTAGGGGAGTTAGTAGATGGGGAGAGGGAGGTATTAGGGAGATGGCGAGAATATTTTGAGGAACTTTTAAATGTTAAGGAAGAAAGAGAGGCAGTAATTTCATGCACTGGTCAGGGAGGTATACCATCTTTTAGGAGTGAAGAAGAGCAGAATGTAAGTGTGGGGGAGGTATGTGAGGCATTATGTAGAATGAAAGGGGATAAAGCAGCTGGAACTGATGGGATCATGACAGAAATTTTAAAAGCAGGGGGGGGGATATAGTGTTGGAGTGGTTGGTACTTTTGTTTAATAAATGTATGAAAGAGGGGAAGGTACCTAGGGATTGGCAGAGAGCATGTACAGTCCCTTTATATAAAGGGAAAGGGGACAAAAGAGACTGTAAAAATTATAGAGGAATAAGTTTACTGAGTATACCAGGAAAAGTGTACAGTAGGGTTATAATTAAAAGAATTGGAGGTAAGAGAGAATGTAGGACTGCAGATGAGCAAGGAGGTTTCAGAGTGGGTAGGGGATGTGTAGATCAAGTATTTACATTGAAGCATATATGTGAACAGTATTTAGATAAAGGTAGGGAAGTTTTTATTGCATTTATGGATTTAGAAAATGCATGTGATAGAGTGGATAGAGGAGCAATGTGGCAGATGTTGCAAGTATATGGAATAGGTGGTAAGTTATTAAATGCTGTAAAGAGTTTTTATGAGGATAGTGAGGCTCAGGTTAGGGTGTGTAGAAGAGAGGGAGACTACTTCCTGGTAAAAGTAGGTCTTAGACAGGGATGTGTAATGTCACCATGGTTGTTTAATATATTTATAGATGGGGTTGTAAAGGAAGTAAATGCTAGGATGTTCGGGAGAGGGGTGGGATTAAACATTGGGAATCAAATTCAAAATGGGAATTGACACAGTTACTTTTTGCTGATGATACTGTGCTTTGGGAAATTCAAAAGAAAAATTGCAAAGGGTTAGTGATGGTTTGGGAATGTTGAAAAGGGAGAAATTTGAAGTAAACAAAAAAGAGTAAGGTGTGAGGGTATAAAATTTTTAGTTAAAGAAAAATTGGATATCAAATTGGGGAGGGGGATGGAAAAAGTGAATGTTTTCAGATACTTGGGATTTTGACGGTGGGCGGATATTTATAAGGAGGGGTTTAACATGAATTGTGAGGGAAAAAAGGGAGGGGTGCGTTGGGTATAGGGAGTCAAAAAACTTATCTATGGGGAAAAGGGGGAATGTATAAAGTTTTAGTAGTCCACACCTTAATGGGTGTAAAGTTTGGGGTGGTAAGCAGAGCGAGGAGAGGTTGGGGCAGTGGAGATGCCCCCTTTTGGGGCAAGTCGGTGAAAAATATTACAAAAAATTCGGGTGGGGGAAATTAGGAAAGGTGTGGGTTAATAAAAGATTAGCAAGGCAGAAGGGGGGTTGTTGAGGTGGTTTGGTCTTAGAGAGAATGGAAAAAGTAGAATGACGGGAAAGCAAAAAAAATTATAGGGGAAGGAAGGGGGGTGGGGGTCTCCTCAAAGGGTTGGAGAGAGGGGAAAAGGGAGGTTTTGTGGGCAAGGGTTTGGGGTTTCCCAGGAGCGGGTGAGCGTGTTAGATAGGGCAATGGAACAAGGTACTTGGGACCTGAATCTTTGGGTGGACAGGTAAAATTTAGTGAAGGGATAGGGAAACGGTTTTTTTCATATAGTCGGACTTGAGTCCTAAAAAGGGAAGTAAATCCGCACTTTAAAAAGGAGGGGTTTGGGATATTGGCAGTTTGGAGGGAAGTTGTGTTTTTTTGTTGTGTATTTTTCTAAACTGTTGTATTCTGAGCACCCTGCAAAAACAGTGTTTAAGTGTGAGTGGGGTGAAAGTGTTGAATTTGATGAAAGTATTTCTTTTGGGGGTTTTTTTCTTTTTTTTGGGGCACCTGCCCCGGTGGGGACTGCCAAATTGTTGAAAAAAAAAAAATGTTCAAATGTTCTTGTAACTTTTGAAGTTTCTCACAGTGGGTACCTCGGGTTCGAATTTTTTTCGTTCCGAAGGTGTTTAATCCCATCAGGAAGAAATTTTTTCACTAAGGAATAATGTAAATTAGATTATCCGTTTCAAACCCCCCAAAAAAACACTTACAAAAGCACTTTCATAAATCTTTCTTTCTTTAACACACCGGCCGTATCCCCGAGGCGGGGGGCCCAAAAAAAAAAACAAAAATTTTCCTTTTACTTTGAAAAATATTTACAGGAGGGTTCTACCCTTGCTCCCCGCATTTTAGTCGCCTCTTACAACAGCATGGTTAGGGAGGGGAATTCTGTTCCCTTTCCCATGGAGGGAAGAGGAAATAAAAAAAGAACAAGAACTATAAGAAAAAAGAAGAAAACCCAGAGGGGTGTGTGTATATATATGCTTGTACATGTATGTGTAGTGTGACCTAAGTGTAAGTAAAAGTAGCAAGACATACCTGAAACCTTGCATGTTTATGAGACAGAAAAATGGACACCAGCAATCCTTCCATCATGTAAAACAATTACGTACAGGCTTTCGTTTTACACTCACTTGGCAGGACAGTAGTACCTCCCTGGGCGGTTGCTGTCTTCCAACCTACTACCTACTTACATATATCTTCTTTCTTTCAGCAAACCAGCCGTATCCCACTGAGGCAGTGTGGCCCAAAAAGAAAAACATAAGTTTCTCTTTTCAAATTTAGTAATTTATACAGGAGAAGGGGTTACTAGCCCCTTGCTCCCGGCATTTTAGTCGCTTCTTACAACACGCATGGCTTATGGAGGAAGAATTCTGTTCCACTTCCCTATTGAGATAAGAGGAAATAAACAAGAACAAGAACTAGAAAGAAAATAGAAGAAAACCCAGAGAGGTGTGTATATATATGCTTGTACATGTATGTGTAGTGTGACCTAAGTGTAAGTAGAAGTAGCAAGACGTACCTGAAAACTTGCATGTTTATGAGACATAAAAAAGACACTAGCAATCCTACCATCATGTAAAACAATTACAGGCTTTCATTTTACAATCACTTGGCAGGACGGTAGTACCTCCCTGGGCGGTTGCTGTCTACCAACCTACTACCTAGGACTTACGTAAATCCTTTCCTTTCAACACACCGACCGTATCCCACCGAAGCGGGGTGGCCCAAAAGGAAAAACAAAAGTTTCTCCTTTCAAATTTAGTAATATATACAGGAGAAGGGGTTACTAGCCCCTTGCTCCCAGCATTTTAGTCGCCTCT